GACAGGGGGGATGGAACCGAGAGGAGGGGAGCTTTGACTTCGGCCGAGCTTACCTCTTCTTTGCCCATGAGCTCGGGCAAATCGCGGGTGACAGATCAGCGGTTTCGGCGGCGGCGTCTCTGCTTCTTGGTGGGTTCGGCGTTCGTGCTGCTCACCTCTGTGTTGTCCGGAATGGTTTGCGCAGGGAGTAGCCCGGTCTGCTGGTGATGGCTGTGGACAGAGGGGTCCTGCTTGGAGTCCGCTGCCAGGATCTCGAACCGGTTTCCAAGGATCGGGGTTCCGAACTTCGACTGTCGAGGTGATGTAGACCTTCCGAGCCGGGGTCCTCCCGACTTGTCTACTCGCGGCAAGATCGGGGTAGCCGGTCTCTCCCTTCTGTCGCGGGGGAGGCCTGAATTTTTGGGAGATTTTGGGGGGCCTCTCCTCGGCCGGAGGGGTGCTCGTTCTGGCAGCGAGACTTGGCTTGCTGCGAGGCGGGGCACTAAGGCGGGAGCTGAGGCTGGAGAAGCTGGGAGAACTGCTACTGATACTGATGCTGGGAGACCTGGTGCAATACGTGTTGTTGATAGAGCTGAAGTTGTTGAAACTGTTGCATTTGAGCCTGCATGGCCTTCATGCACTGCATCAAGTCCTCCAGCTGGTTTGGACTGGCCGCTGGGGGCACGACCGAAGGTTCGGTGAACGTCGTTCCGACTGTAGCAGGGAGTGGGATGATGACAGATGCCATTGTGAGGGGCACATTCAAGCTGGGGATTCCGTCCGCCAAGAAGGGGATGGTGAACTGTCAATACAGACAGTAGGAAGCTGGGGTCGTTCCCTGGAGTTATCCATTTTCGTGCTTCGTCCGACGTTGCTAGAGGAAGCCATGAGCATTGGATTGTTTCGAGGAGGGAAAGGATTGGAAGAGTTTAGAGAGAAAGGCTTTTTGAAGCACTTCCCACAGACGACGCCAAATGATGTAGCACGGTCCGGTCACTCCTAGTTGGCGCTCACGTGGCTCCTGAGAGGTACCTGAGATGAGGGGAAAATGGAAGAACTCCCAACGGGAACGCTCCGATGCTTAAGTTAGTACTGTGTGCAAGAAGCGAAAGGAGAACGAAGGCTAAGAGTGAGGATAGTGTGTTATCACTATGTTCAGGAGGTCGAAGATTTTTTTTTAGAAGACCTCTCCCTTCTGTCCTGAGGGCTTTTATAGGGACACTCACATTAGGTCAGGCATAACTGCCACTGGGTTCCTGCCACAGCCGTTACTTGCCAAGGCTGCACAGGTGGCCATTGTGGTGTACGCTTCGCCCGGGTGAGTGACATGTTTCCAAAGTGGCAGGCACGCCTTTGCCTATTGAGAGACGTGGATGCAAACTGTCGGAAGGACTGGGACTGCACCGTCAGTAGAGGATATGGCGCAGTCTGACCGGTACGGTCTGTCAGTCGGAAGCGTCCTCGGAATGACTTCTGTTAGGGAGCTTGGGCGAGCTAATAACTTTAGCTCGCGAGCTACAGTTGCCTCAGGGTATCTCTTCCAAGATAGCACGGGGATCCTGGAGTTCGCCTTGCGGCGGACTCCTCCCCTCGTGAGTTGTATCGTAGTGGACTGCTTCGTGGGCCCGTCACTTGGTCGCTTCGGGCTTCAGTGCTAGGCTGTCGCTCATGCTAAGTCGGTGCCTACATGTCATCGTTTCATAGGTTGGGTCAAATCATCCCTCATCAATAATAATAATAATAATAATAATATAGTTCAAAAATTATAATAACTTCATTGATTGAATTGAGTAATTTAATCTGTAGAAAAATGATCACATCACTTAAATAACTCAAGGATCAAGTGAAACCATGGTCTTTGTAACCATGAGTGTTTGGGTTTAAATCTTTACATCCTCAAAGTATTTTGGGATTTTTTTCAAGGCAAGTTCAGTTTCAAGGGCAACCAAGGCTGGTTCTCCAAGTCGGTGCTGGTTCTCCAAGTCGGTTCAGGTAAGATAAACACCTAGACCTTAAAACCAGCCTAGATAGAGGTCAGTTCCAACTTCCAAGAATTTGGAACTAGAATACCTACCTAGTAACAGATAGGGTAGGGTTGATTCAAGATCAGTTCCATTCAGTTCCAAGTAGACCCTACACATTTGCTCACCCCAAACCCCATATAAGTGGGACTAACATTGGATAATGACCTTTCCAAATTAATCCCATCCATAATTCAATTAAAAAAAGAAAGATTGGCATTTATCCAGCTAAGAGGCCATTTGGTAATGACTGAATTGCTAAACTTAAAGACTTATTGCTGTCTTTTTAGTTAATAACGAAATTAAATAATTATAAATTTTTTAAGAGTATAATGATATATCCAACTTTACTTCAGTCATTAAGGCTCAGTTTGGAAAGAGTACTAATTAATGCAAATATATACGAAATACAAATTTTGCACTCTACATTTATTTGTATTTGTACTCCTTCCAAAGTGAGACTAAAGAATAAATTTTTCGGTTCAGCCACTTGACTGGAATTGACAGAAGCTTGTTCTTGATGGGTGGTAGAAAACGCCAGATATTTCTCGTTTTTTCCTGCAAGAGCTAGGGTTTCAATACCCACGTCACATAAAATTATGGGTATGGTGAGTATGGCCTTAATAATAAGAAGGGCTCGAGCATTTTCCATTGGCTCGACAATGCCAACGTGCAGAGAGGCGTAAGAGGTTTGCCCTCGAGATCCTCGTGGGCATCTCTCTCACGTACAAACGTGATGGGGCCATCACTCAAGCTTCCTCTGCACTTTATACGACTCGCCCCTTCAAGCTTTTAAAGCTTCCAAGGAATCTATATCTGATAATGCCATTGTAATAATCTATTCCATTTACAGCCATGTTCTGAAAAACAAGGCCAAACGACTCAAACCACAGAGCTTTCTTTCTTTTCTTTCAGACAATACCTTCTCTACTCTAAAGCTTTGATCTTTGATACTAAGCCAATATTTCCAGGTATGTACTGTGTTCCTCTCTCTCTCTCTCTCCTCTTTTCTGTGTGTGCTGAATAAACTTGGACTACTTCAATTAATGGAACAGGGAAGAAAAGGACTGAAGGTGAAGAAGTAGAGGGGGGCAAGAGAGGTGGAGATGGAGCATCAAGAGTCTGATCATGAAGAAAATTACGGTGGAGAAGCCGCTTCAAGCAGTGATGCATCATGTGGAAGCACCATGCAAGACCAGAATGAATACGACATGGATTGTGAGATAGAGATAGATGACGAATCACAGCCTTTCGCTCCTTCTGTCAAGATTAGAAGGATAGACAATACCCTTCTCATCAGCACCATCGTTCTCAAAGACGTGGCTCTGTCCTCATCTCTCTTCTCCATTCTCGAAGAAGAGAAGCTCGATATCGTGTTTGAGAATCAGTACAGAACCGAACACACAGTTGCTCATACTGTTCAGGTGATTCTTCCTTCTGAGTATATTCATATATATGATCAACTCGATCGATAGATTTGTTTTTTTATTTTAATAATATGTGATGAATTTTTGAATTCTCAGGTGAAAGTTCAACCAGATTACGACATTAATGAATTAGAGATGAAGCTTTGCAGGTGGGCAGGGAAGCCCGTGTAACCTGCCTAGCCTGCAACGCCATTCTAGCTATCTTCTCTGCAAATGGAAGCTGATGGCCATGGATGTTTTCTCCTTAGTTTATTAAGTTGAAATCGGATGTTGGGATGGATTTATTAACTAATTTGTCACTTTTTTACGTTTTTTTTTTGGGGTAATTTGCGGTAGACATCTTTCGGATGTAAAGAGTGATCAAAAGTGTTTTTCTTATTAAGAAATCAGGAAACAAATTAAGCCACGCACGTCTAGTTTACTGATCACCCTTGCTCATTGCATAAATAAAATTCCAGATACAAGTACATGCAGTTAACTATCACCGGGACTACGGTGGGGATGTTAAAAGAAAAATGGAGAAGTCCCAGTTGGGACACCTCTATAATGGTGCAATGACACTTTATCAAAGTAATGTAAGGCCTGTGCACTTGCGGTGAGCAGAGAAGACCATCCTACACTTGCGATGAGCATGAAGCGCCATCCGAGACTCGCGATAACCATAAAACACCTCCCCGGACATGCAATAAACAATCAGCGTTACCGGAGACTTGTGATGAAAATAAAATGATATCACAAGTCCGAGATGAGCCCAATATGCACTAACAACACCTTGTGATGATGAGCATGAAATGGCAACTCCCGTTATAACGAACGGAGGATAGACCCTGAGGCTGGCAACACCCACCTACGGGAAATTGGCATTCCTTCTATTCATAGCTAGTTGTGACAAGGCGCCTCAAAGGTAGAACGCCCAAGCACACCAATTAGATCTAGGTCTTGCCCTTAACACCTGTCCACAGGGAAACCTATAAAGGGACATAACCTACATGTGCCACGCGAGAATCCTTAGGAGAAGGAAAACTTTATCCTTAAAGGATCTCATTGGACATGTGGCGAAATTCCAATGGTGCTCCCTTAATAGCCGATATAAAGATAAAAATCCCCTTTCCTAATAAAAAATGTCTTTTTTTAGATCATTCTTCATATAGCATTGGGGTCCTCTCTATAAAAAGGGGAATAACACTCCCCCACGGAGACAATACCACATAACCCTAACCTTAGGGCTTCTCAAGGAGATCTCTCCCTTCTCTCATATTTTCCCCTCTCTTCCCCATTATCTCTTCGGACCTTCGTAGACTTGACCAACATGCAAGAGTCCATGGTGATTACACCAAAATCATGTGCAATGCCACAATTAATTCATGGGTGGTTAGACAATAACAAATTATCAATACCAACTAGCTCATGAGTTGGTGATAAGGTCTCTCCTCTCTGCTAGTATCCCGTGCCTATGCATGGAATGGAAGGCATCATATTGGAGGTGTTTGGTATAGTGGTGTTGCATTTTATATTTTGGGTCAATCGATACAAATTTGTGAGAGGGATTTTTTTCTTGAAATCAATGTTCCAAATTTAGTACATATCGTATTTGAGGGCTTCCCAATACGCCCCTACAAGGGGTGTTTCAGGGTTTAACCCAATTCAGGGGTAGACATTAAACCGACCCCTTTAGACCAGGTTTAAAAAAACTAAAAAAAAAAATGATCTTTAATTGGTGTATCGATTGTATCGATATTTTGAACTTTGCTTCAAATATTTTGAAAGTGTTTTGAATTAATTAATACAAATTGTTATTTTTCTCTAAACATGCGATTGGTAACACATATTTCTCACAAATTTGTATTTATCAACCTAAAAGGCAACACAATGCCACTGTACCAAACACCCCCTCCCTATAAACCCTAAAAAACAAACCCTAAATAGGCTTCCCACACATCATTATCTGTCAACATTATCTTTTTGGCTGGATCCATATTGAAACGATCGAGATTAATACATGCATCTTTGAATACACTCACAATTTTTTGGAAGTTACACCTGAGCTGTTTGGCGATCTATATCTGCATCTTATCTTCTTGTCAAACTCTCTCTTAATATCTTTCCAACTGATAGGACAAAAGCCTAAGAATCTGCAGTGTTGGGTCCAGCTTTCAGGCTGGACCCATTCAAATTTTGACAAATTTTCGATCAAAGCCTGCCCAAGTTGCATCCCTACAAATAACTGCAAATTCTAATACAATTTTCCTTTAGACTCAGTTTGGAAGGAGTATAAATACAAATACATATGTACAATACATAATAAGGTTTAGAAATATAAAATGCATGTTTTCACATTGTATATATATTTGTATTTATACTCTTTCCAAACTGAGCCTTAGTTTGGGAAGAATATAAATACAAATATGTACAGTGCAAATACAAAGCAGATTTAGAAATACAATATATATAGTTTGTACTGTACATATTTGTATTTACATTCTTCCCAAATGGAGCCTTAGGTTTTACTTTGTTTTTATTTATTTATTTTTTTAGAGGAATTGTTTTTATTTATTTGGGAGGAGTAAAACAAACCCACTTTATATAGAAAGGACAAAGGTGGAAGGTGATGCAAATTTTCATATATTTTTGGAACGTAAAATTGCACTGCTAATAAGTAGTGTAAATTTTGTACAACAAATAAGATAAAAGTGCAAATTAATTTGTATCAGGTAAGGGTGTAAATCAAATTTATGAATAGAATGCTTCTATTTGGGAAGGCAAATATATGGTCAAGCCAAGGGTTTCCAATCGATCGAATGAACGATTTGGATTGGGAAAGCATTCTTCCATGTAATTGTGTAGCAAGCTTCCCTACTTGATTCCAAGTTCACATTGCTACAACCATATGGTCATAGTATTCCCATACGACCCTTCAATAAATAAATAAATAAACAACAAAAACAACAACAATTAAGCACATGCCAGCATTTGCAATTAACTAAAGATTTCATAGCAACTGTTTTTTTTTTATTTCAAATGCTGGTATAAATCAGAATTCCACGCATGTAAACCCTTAAGGCCCATTTGGTTTGCGGGAGTAGGGATCTGGAATTGGCATCGGAACAACTGTTTGGTTGGGCGGAATCGGAGTTTTATTCTTATTTTTTCTGGAATAGTATTTCCCCATTTGAGGGAATGGCCATTCCCTACCCCCTTGGAATGAAATCTCATTTCTGTTTATTCCAATTCTCATTTCCATTTCTGTCTGAACCAAACAGATTATAGGAATAAACCATTTTGATTCCAATTTTAAAAGATTCTCATTCCAATTCTGACTATAAACCAAACGGACCCTAAGTTCTTAAACCAATTTATACCCTTTCACAACTGGAAAGGCTATGGATTGAACAATAATGGATTAGGATATGTTAAATCATGCATAGTTCAGTTATGAGATAGGTAATTAGTAGTGTTTCTAGAAACACTTGAGACCATGTCATATTTTTAGTCTTGGTCTTGGTGGAAAGAGAAAAATATGAAAGAGTTGATTGAATCCCACAAATTTGCTTTTGAAGAGAAAAAAAAAAGGTGATCTTCTAGACGTTATTACTATAGAGAACATTTGAAGACCATGTAAGGTTTCCAGAAGCAATTATGGTGGAAAAAAATTGAAAGCGAGTTGAAATTTCCTTTCTTGTCTGCTACTCCCTAGCCTTATCTATTGATGGTTCTGCACCCGAAAAAACTTTGTATTCAGCTGGGTCAATTTCTTAGAGAGACATAAAAAGAATTCTAACTTTAATTTATTACTGGGTATATATGGTAAAGATGCTTTTGTGGAGAGGAATTTCAATTTATTCTTTCAAACCATGCATTCATGTATGCCAAAATTCTTGAAAAGAATTTGGTGGTCAAGATTCGACCACCTCTGCTACAGGGCTGACACATTAGTCCATGAAAGAACTTCATGCAACATTACAAATACCGAAAGGCATGGTCATATGAATTAACGTATGCCGTGTGGAAAATATCTGTGTCTGTCGAACAGACAAGTATTTGTTTCGTTTAGTTTATGTTTTTTTCGTAAACATTGTATTTTATTATCTTATAAAACCGATAAAGATAATAAGTATAATCATTTATAACAATTAGGTGTCATTAGACGCTAGGCACTACAGCGTAACATTGAAAAAATGTCTAATTGTTTGTGAAAGTTTTAAAAAATAACTTCTTCAAATGGTAGGTATGCACAAAAACTGAAATCCATTTTTATAATTCTCGATGCAAACGAAAGAGCAAGAGAGGGGAACTACTGTAGGTATGCACAAAAACTGAAATCCATTTTTATAATTTTCGATGCAAACGAAAGAACAAGAGAGGGGAACTACTGAAGTGGTGCCCATGTGGCAGCGTTTATTAAATAAGCACCCACGGAACCAAACACCCTGAAAGCTTTCCCCCAAGTTTTGCCTTTAAAACTGTTAGTTGTACTATCATAAATTTTAATCAGAAAAAAGTTTTCTAATCAGATAATTTATTTAGGCTCCATTTGGTTTGCAGGAATAGGGGTTTGGAATTGGAATTGGAATGGTTTGATTGAGAAGAATGGAATCTCATTCTCATTCCTACTGGAATGACACTCCCCTATTTGAGGGAATGGCCATTCCCTACCCCTCTTTTGGGAATGAAATGTTATTCCTGCTGATTCCAATTCTCATTGTTATTCCTATCTGAACTAAATAGGTTATGGGAATAGACCATTCCGATTCCAATTCTGAAGAATTTTGATTTATGATTCCAACTGTAAACCAAATGAACCCTTAATTTTTCTATTTTAGCCACATAGAGAAATCTTGTGATCTTGTGAATTGTTATCAAACTCACTTGATAGAAAAATCCTTTGGCCTTGTTTTGAAGAGATAAAAGTCCATTTCTTGGATGTAGCAGTTCATCACTCCAGCCAACTACGCTGACCCGCATGTAAACCTACCTCCAAAGTCTTTTGCCAACAATGAATGGTTAATCATCTTTGACTGTCAATAAAGAAGAAAATTTAAAGAAGGGAAACCAAATTAAAAAAAAAAAAAAAAGAGTGCAATTTTCTAGCTAGTGTAATAATATTTTCATGTCCAAAAAATGAGAGTGGCAGAAATGCATATTCCAAGATTGAGCAGAAAAACTAGAAATGATGGTTTCAAAAATTAAGTCATTCGGAAAAAATTAAAAAAAAAAAAAACGTAAGAATAGTTGTAAAAGAAAATGGTAGAAAATAGACTAAGATGGTGAGATCACGTGCATAGAAAACCCTTGACAAAACATATGGAAAAAGTGATCTGTTGCAAGTTAAAAGAACTAGAAGGACTAGGTATGACAAAAAAGAAATGGGTCAAACTAGTAAAAATTAATTAAGTGCTCGTAATTTGGCAAAGGAACGGAATGGTGAAACAGAATTCATCTAACCAATTCCATGAAATTGGGATAATGTTTGGAAAGCGATGATGATGAAAACTATGAAGAAAATTAACATTTTTATATTTAAATGAATAAATCTTCCTTGTCATTATCATTGAAAATTGAAAGTTGAATAAATTATAGTGTTGTTTGGTAAGTCTTTTTTGAAAGATCTTCTAGAAAATCTAATCGTCAAACGACGTAATGGGTTTTTACATAAAAATCTTAGCAGCCCACAAACTGTTTGGTTGGAGGCACATCTTTCTGCAAGAAGACAAGACGAAAAAAGGCAAAAAGCTTTATTTTTGGCTTCTCAAAATAAGTTTGAATCAAGTTTCTCGTGTCTTTTTGGGGCAAAATCTTTTGGCAGCTAGATCTTCCCTCAACCAAATAGGAAAAGACGAAAACGTGAACTATCAAGCTTCTAAACAGCCAACAACCCATGTGGAAAGACGCACAAAACAAGGCCATATTATTTTTAGTAACCTTTTGTAGGAATGGCAATGGGGCGGGGATCATATTCCCCGTCCCCGACCCCGATTATGAAATTAACCCCCGTCCCCGATCCCTATCGGGGATAAAATTTGTCCTCCATCCCTGATTCTCCAAAATTTTTTAGATAACAGTATTTATTTGAAAAATAAATTTACTTAAAATAAATAAAAATTTTAAATTATAAATATTTTTTAAATATATTTTGATATATATAATATAAAAATATATATTTAATATATATAATATAAATAATATATATATATACATAATCGGGGTCGGGGCGGAACAGGGACTTCAATCCCCATCCCTGACCTCAACCCCAATTGGGGATTCCTATAAATCCCATCCCCATCCCTGCCCCACCAAAATAATCCCCATCCCCAACCCCATTGGGTCATAGAAGTCGGGTCCCATCGAAGATGGAAAAAATTGCCATTCCTAACCTTTTGGGTCCTACAAACAAGTAAAAACTTACCATAACTTTCTGGGTCATAAAGTGAGACATGTATAAAAGAACAGTGTTTGTTTTCTTGGAAGTTGGTAGGCAAATGAATGCATTAAGTCTTTCAACAGTACAAGTAATATGAAAGAGGGTGCCACTGGCATATTGACTGGTCAAAACAAGGAAACTGCATGTTTAGCAACACACAAATTGCAACAATATTACCTACCCATGCCAATGAACGAAGTAAATAAAAGTGATGTTTGGCATCAATACTGTTTTTTAAGAAAATGGTGCCCCATAGGTACCACATCAAAGAAAATGATGCTTCAAACAACACCCTCTTCTTTGGTATCGTTTTTCTAAAAAAAATATTGTTCCAAACCACACCTTAAAAATAGAAAAAGTGTAGTGTAAAGCAACACCAAATTCAATGTTTTCTAAAAAAATAGTATATTTCTACCAGCGGTGTAATGAGGTAGCATCATCTTAAACATTAGATAATAATCAATGTTGAAAACGTTACTGTCAGCACCGATACCAAACAAAACCAGTGCTGTTTTCTTAAAAAACGCCTATATAGTTCTAAACAAAAAATAAGCCACATTTTTTCAAAAAACAATACTTACAACTCCACATACTTAGCACTTTTTTTATGAGAAAACAGTATAATATTCCTAACACCAATGCCACTTACAAAGTAACACTCCACTTCATGCAGTAAAAAAAAATACATTCCAACACCCTACCAAATACAATCTGACACCACACTTTTATGGTGAATCTCAATTATATGGTGAAGATGTGCGGTATCGAATCATATTAGGTTGGAATATGTTTTGTTGGCAGGAGATCCCAATTCCCTCCGTTCAACTATAATAAGACGTAAACGCCAAGGAACCACACCAACTGTTTTGCAAATATGATGTCTTCTTGTTACTCTGCAGATGCTCCATCAAAAGTGTTTTCACAAACTAGCATTTGACTTTTTTTTGTCTCCTATACTTGATAAAGCCAAACAAAACAAAATTTTCCAAAGTCTCCTATACCAGGCGCCATAGATGCTATCATACGTTGCAAATTCGAGACCCTTGTTGGCACCCATCCAAGAAAAGTGTCAGAGAAACAAATGGAGCATCGAATGTTTTTAATCGGAAGAGCCGACACCATCTGATACAATATAAAGTACTTAATCGCAAATGCCACTCCAATTTCGCAGTGAGATTGTGACAATCATAAACCATACTACAATATGACAAAACAATAACCATACCAAAAAGTGGGTAAGATACGAACCAAGACATGGATGGCCTTGGGAGTATGTCCTATGTCTGGATTCTGACTATTTACATGGTAATTGGTAGTCGGTACTCTCTTCTCTGGCATATAATATAAATATAGTCAGAGAGGTATGGTCCCTGAAAACTTTAACCAATCAGAAACCCACATGAATTTAGATGAATAACAGTTTGAATTTGGATGAATAAGAGTTTGATTGAAGAAATACAAGGGGTATCCACGTGAACCACAAGGCAGTTAAACAGTAATCTTGGACAAAACAACATACCCGCACGGGTTTCATGTTGGTTATGAATGAATACAAGGCTTGCAGATGAAAAGAGAAGTCATTTCACGTTTCAAATGTTCTTTTGCTTCAAATCCTACCAATAGCCTTAGTCCTGCTCCTGCAACACTTTCTTGAAATTTATGGTCCCCGCCCCGACCCTTTATTTTTTGGGGGGGCTGGTGGGGATTCTGACTGTTTGTTTTATCAAGGTTGATAAATTACTACCTGGTATAAATATAGCTTGCAATTTTGAAGCTCACCGAGAGAATAAGGACCCAAAAGAAAATGAAATAGAAACCACCATGTATCATCACTGACCCTGCCTTCCCAGATAGTATGTTAGCCATTGGATCCGTGGCAGCAGTACCGCCGATTAACTGTTTGGCCGCTATCATATCACCCCGTGTCATGCCATAAGAAAGGAGAAGATCCACATTATTCTTCCCAAATGAAGAATAATTTCCGGCACTTCTTATTGTCATGCCACTTATTCGTATCATCCCAGCAGTAACATGAACAGGATTAGAAGCTTCAGCTGATGAATTCTGCCCAATAGCTGCTTCTTTCACCGGGAACTCTGCAGCAAATGCAGGAGGTGCATGGATGGAACCCAACATGCGGCTAACACGTTTGACAATGTTACTGTCCCAACCCTCATCGTATTGGACATCTGCACCACAGAAGAGCAAAAAAAATGTCCCTTATGAAGCAAAAAAATGCAGAAAAAGGAAAATAAAAACAACAAAAAAGGAACAGAACTGATTCATGGCATGAGACAGAAAAACCATATTTTGGAAGAACACTTTTATACCATGTATAACAGACTTATCATTTCATTTACCAATTCATGCCATAACCAGATGCAAATTACAGGGGCAACATCTCAATTATTTAATCTTTCTAAAATAGAATATGTACCTGGTGTGAATTGTGTCGTCTCTGGTTGCTTTGAAGAGGATGCACCATCACTACCTTGTGTCATGGACTTGGGTCTAAGAGGTTCTTCAACAAGTTCTTGTTTCACCTGGCAATAGATAAATTATTAATATTGAAAATTCTTGGTTCCATACGAGTTGAATAAGCAACAGAAACATGGCTCTGAGAGATTTCACGATGGTTTACCTCCTGGCTGAGCACTGATTGGTCCAACATAGAAGACTGAGGATCATTCTCAGTGGCATCAAAGTATACAAGGTATTCATCAAGCATTTCAAAACCTGATGGATCAGCCTTTGATGGATTTCGGAGATCATTAATCTCTATGAATGACCCATCATTAGCCGGTAGGCTATCAGAAGCATTAAAGAACCTCAACTCCTCATTAACAGGGTCATCACCATGGTAACCATCATCAACAGAATTTACAAGATCATCCAGTTCAACAAAATAATCATCTTTGACAGGTGTTGGGTCCGTCTGGTACTCTTCTGGCAAGTCAATGAATCTTTGGTCATCAGGCAACTCTAGCATATTATCCCTCCTGCCCATGCCAATGAAGAGCTTATGATCATCTTTAACGTCCCCAGATTCTTCTAAATAATCGAAATTATTTCCTGTGTAGACGCTCAATGGAGCAGAAACATTTTCAGATGGCCCAATGCCAGGATCCTGCTAAGATAGAAAAATTACTTAAGTTTAGAGTCATTGTGCACGACTAGAACAATCCAAAAAGGAGTGACACTAGTTACAATGCAAGCAAATTTATCATGTATCGTCACCAAGGCAACACATAACTCAAAGCTGGGCAGCATAATAGTAATGAACTAATGATCAGAACCAAGGTTCAAAAGTATCATACATATTGGTGTGTATTATATGATATGTATCGGTTCTTGGACCCACTACTGATACAATAAAAAACAAGGAATTAAGACATGTGGCCAGTTTTGAAGGGTAAACCCTTCCTAGAGATATCCTGTCTCAATCCTTGAAACTTAAAAAAATTAAATTAAATTAAATCAAATGCGTCTATTGATATTAACGGTTGCTCAAATTCAAGAACTAACATGAAATGTATCACCATCCATATTGATTGATGCCATATTTTTTTTTGGGGATTAGTAACATTGATTTGAATTATATTAGAGAAAAAACAAAATATATACATAACAAACAGGCATCCCTTGGAGAGGATCTCAGGATCTGCTACCCACACCTACCTGCAAGACACTGTAGCCAGATATCAGGAACATCTCCCATAGTTCTATATTGTCATTCATAGAGAAACATTGCCGACATACAGCAGTAGTGTGGGTAGCATTCTTGTGGGTAGCAGATCCAGAGTTCTTGGAAAGAGAGAGAAGCAGTACCCCTCCAAACAAATTAATCTCAAATTACAATTGGGCCCAAAACAATTGATACATGTTAACCCCCTCCTGTCTAGCTAATGTATCAAGCTACCCCAGTGGCCGACCTTTGGACCCACTAAATCCTTGTAATTATATTCCTTCAAGTCATTTGATTTCCTTAATTTCATCTTTATAAATCCATAACACTTTCTATATTTCTTAACCATCCTGTCCACCTTTGACCTTCAATGATTAGTCTTGTCCGTGTTCATCTCTCTTGTCAATTGCACACCTTGAAGTTAACTTCTGCCCTTAGTGAACCCCAACCCCAATTGGTCCAGAAAGTAAAGCTACAATATTACCATCTTTATCTCTGAATACTCCACCTACACCTAAAGGTCCCGGCTTATATCAATGCTTAACTTTATGAAACCTTCTTCCAGAGATGACCAAGAGCTTTGCAACTGCTTCTTCTTTGAGTATCTTGCCACCTCCTCCCATTTCTCCAAACACATTGACTGATGTCATTGTGCATTGTAAGTTCATGTCTAAGACAAATAAACTCGGTAAAAGTAACGTACTTGAGGAGAACAGAAACCCTAGATTTATGGCCATAAAATGTTATAACAACATCAACAACTTGTCACTTTGTCAGTCATTCCATATAAAAGAAATTCCACAAATTGGTAAGGAATTTTATAAAGGCAGAGACTATGAAGTGATTCTCATCACTACTATTACCTCCCTGTCTTTTTTATCAATAGTACGAGAATTTTATTAAAGAAATGAAAAAACAGTACAAGGCTTAAAGAGAGGTGTGAGGTGCACCTCCCAAACTAAAAGAAAAAGCCCTTTCATGAATCAGGTAATCTATTTGCACTGTACAAAAGATCCTTTATCATCATCCCTGATGCTGAAGAGTCAGCAATCTGATTTAGATCTCTCGGTATACATCTGAATCTACAACTTATAGACGCTGAAATGTCTAAAATTTCATGGAGAAAATGAACCAGCCTCCAAGGCTCATACCCATTCGATTTAACCCAACCAATAACAATCTTGGAGTCACCTTCTACTGAAATAAGATCAACTTGGAGAACTTTAGCTATTTGAAGACCCTTGAGAAGAGCTTTTAACCTCAGCCTCTGAAGCATCAACCACCTTGACTGGGCCACTAAAAGCCCATTGCAAGCTACTATCTGGACTCAACAGGACTATTCCAGCAGCAGGATTCTATTGATCTTTTCTTAAACTACCATCAAAGCACAGAATATAAGTGTTAGGGGTTCTTGGAGAGAGGAGCATACTGAACTGAGTAGTAGGAGAATGCAGAATTTCCAGAAGATTCCATATCACCCAGGTTGACGCCGGTGAAGGTCTTCTGAGCCAACATCCAGGAGTTAACCAAGGTTGTTATGTCTTCTCAAAACTTCTATAGAAGAGCATTTATTTTCAAAGATTCTTTTGTTGCATTCTTCCCAAATACCCCTACATAACAGCATAAATTACTGCCTACCAGTAGATATTACCTCTTTTCCCAAGTTTGCTGTCTTTCCATTGATGGACAAAATCACAAACATGATCGAGAGGGGCCCAATAAAAGCTGTTATCCCTGACCTCCAGGAAGTGTTCTCAAATACTGCAGGCCACTGGATGGTTTATGAAAAGATGCCTGATGGATTCACCATCCTGAAGGCACATTATGCATACATGTGAAGAAATGTGTAGCTGTCCTTTACCTTTTTTTTCTTTGAATATGGTCATATGTGTTTATGTTGCCACAAGCTGCTTCCCATATAAAGAAAGCAATTCTGGGAGGGACAGAAGAGAACCAGATCTTTCTGTCCAGGAAAGAGGGCATAGATCCAGCAATCATCCTTTCATAGTAGGATTTAGTAGTGAACTTCTCATTAGGGATGTTAAGGAGCATAACTCAGCCAATTCAGGTTCAGTAAGGGCTCTACAGTAATTGAAATTATGGGCTAAGCCATTTTTTTCTCTAATGAGGGTACAAGAAACCAAAGCTTGCTTGTCCAAGACAAGGGGAAAGAGATTGGGGAAGGACCCGCTAAAGGGTTGAGTCTCCCATTACAGATCAGTCCAGAATTTAATTAGATTTCCATCTCCAAGTATTGCTTGCTCTGCAGCAGGAATCCCATCTTTCATTTTGTTCTTAAGACAAAATACAACATGGAAATAATTATGTTAGACCACTCGTTGTTCCTTTTTAGGATATCCAACTTCAACAGATCATTTCACCTCATGGATGACTACCTCTTGACTGTTGTCAGTCAGTGTCACTCTTAACTTCACCCAGCCACACTGAATTTAATATGGTCACTTCTAAAATTAACATTAGATATCTCAAAACATCCCTATCACTAACAAACTGATTTTAAGTTCACTTTGCTTTTTAATTGCCAACAATCTGCTCCCAAAGCATAGGAGCACTTATAACCATCCCTTTTAATTTTGATTGTATGTCTTGACCATGGAATACACCAAAAGCACATATCCACTTCATTCACTTCGATGATTCAGTGTTTTGAATAAACACTGGAGGCAGGCACATGCCTGGAGACACGCACAGTGGAAGTGTATAGGTGCTTGAGGTGTATGCCACCAGTATAGAGACGTACACCTTACATGCTCTTACCTTTTAAACTAGTTTTTTATAATAAAAAACTATAAATAATAGTGGGGAAACCATTTTATTGTGTTCCCCGTTATATATTATATTAACATAATATAAAGAACGGAACCCAATTACAATAAAATGTTTTTTATTTATTTTGAAGGGCTAAACAGCGGGGTTAGCCCATCCCCCAACCTAAGTGCAGGCGGGACTCAATCCCAAGTCTCCACTATGACCAGCAGGAAACCTTACCAACCCGCTGGTTGGCACCTTGCTATTACAATAAAATGTTGTAAATAAAAAGGGGACACCATAGTTCTGATTTCATTTTAATGCATTATATTCACTCAAACGTTGTCAAGGTGATGCCTTGGCAGGCTTTTCTTTCTTATTAAACCCCCAAAATTTGTTTATTGTAATATTATAACAAAGCATAATATAAAGAAATGGAGCCACCATATTATAGTAAAGGAATCTCTATAAATGACCTTAACAGGGACGCTGGTATTTTCCTTTTCTCCTCCCCCCATCCACAGGGTAATCCTAGAGAAGCTGGTATTGGAGGAGTATTAACGGATGAAAATGGGAACATTTGCTGGGTGTAAAGTGGGCTGATAGGCATAGACTCTACAAGGAAGAAGTGCTGGCTGCACTTACAGTAATCCGATTAATCAACAGAGCATTCAGAATTTATCCATACAGGGAGACTCAGCTAACACTATAAAGTGGTTAGGTCCGTTAGGAAGACAGGAGATTGGGCCGTGGGAGACTCAATCATTTTCTGACAGAGGCAAGGGATCTATTGGCAGCTTCAAATGCAAACCTGTGCTGCACTCCAAGGGAACTCAATGCTCTTGCAGCTGGGTTAGCAAAATTAGGTGCTCTTTTAAAAGTTCTGTACCGTGATAAGATCCCTTCGGTGTAATTTTCAGGAGTCCCCATTGAGCAAGAAGCAGCCACCACTCGCAGGAAAGAAACCCAGCCGCAGTGGAGCGGCAAATCAGAACTGGGCATGGGCCCCAAGCTCTAAGAAAACAGGCAGCTCCCTAGAACAGCGCATCCCGAGGTTCAAGAAGCACCCGACGACAGTGGAGTCAGGGTGTTCTTTCATTCCAGAGACGGTAAATCAGGAGGTTACAGACCCTTTTGAAGATTGCGCGACAGAGGAAGAAAGCAGTTCAGGATCAGATTTGGAAGGTTCCTCAAGTATCGGAAGTGTGGAACTTAAAAAAAACAAATCACTCAGTGCTGATGAGAGCTTACACACGGAGCTGTTATTTTTGGAAAATGATGGCTTTAAAATTACAGATTCAGCCCAGAAGAAGCACTCTCAACTACCCAAGGAAATGGAGTTTACCGCAGCTATTAAAGAGGAGAGGCAGGGGATACCAGTTCCTAAATATGCTTCCAGTTCACTAGAGCAGTACGGCATCGATAGAGGACTAGAGGAACAGAACACATCTCGGTCACCGATCACAGAGTCATCAATCAGGGGACAACACCTAAAGACAGATTCTGATGCAAGGACTAAAACAACATTGATTGAACACAATGGGAACCCACAATCACCTATTCTGGAAGGATTAGTCGTGACCTTACCCTCAT